GGAATGGAGGTGCCACACCAGCAGGTTGGAGACAAAAAGGTTTTCACTCCATTATGACCACTGAAGCTAAACCTGCACGCACCACTAACCCGTCTCTGGGGCCCAAGCATGCTCCCAGCTAAAACCATCTGCTGTCCAGAGAGCCTGGTAAGGATTTACACATTTCACACATTTTTCAGAGTCGTCCATCTTTAGTTTTCCTCTCACACCTCAAGCCCTGATGAAACGCGTAGGTTAGACATGCAGATTTTCCTTTTGTGATTTCTAATTATTTTAATAAAGACATGTGGACTCCCAGCTGCTGGTTTGGTGCTCTGGTATTCCTTCATCCTGCGATTCCAGCAATAAAAACCTGACAGAGGCGACACCTCCTCACACTTTTCTAAATAAAAGTCATTTTAGCTGGAGCCGCTCCTCAAAGCTGAACTTTATTGAAATAATCATTTTTTTTCTCTTACCTGTAATGAAGGATTTCCCTGAAGTGCAGGCTGTTGGATTCTGTAGAACTCTTTACTGCAGGGTTGTCCTGTCCTCTTCCTGCTACTGAACCTCCGGCACTGTGGGGGTTAACAGCTTTGGGTCTCCAGGCTCAGCTGGAGTGAAGCAGATTCGACCGGGACACGCCCCCCCTCCTTTGAGAAAAGATTTCAGGGATTACACTGCCTGTAACATCATCTGATTGGTGGCGGGGATCATGTGACTGATCAGACTCTCCCACCATTCACAGAATGTGTTACAGGCAGAGTAATCAGTGAAAGAACTTTTGTTATTGGAGGAGAAAATAGGATGGGGTGTGACCCCCCCCATTGGATCAGAGACCCAAAGCTGTTAGTGATTCTAAAGGCTTCAGTTAAAAATAAGTGTGTGTATATATATACATACAGTTGTGTTCAGAATAATATCCGTGTGATGAGAAAAGTGACTAAAGCTGCAAATCCTTCTAATCCTTTTATTTCCATCCACACAAATGCATTGGGAACACGACACATTCTATTCCAAATCACAACATGAAGAAAAATACATCAAATTTGTGTTGTTCCTCTAAAAAAATGGAAGAAAAGTGAATATTAGACGGTTCAAAAAAATGGCCGTGTTTGTATTCTTCTTTCCAAACTCCAACATTCACTATATAAACTGAGAAATGTTTGAAGATTTTGCTTTCCTTTGAATGACTTCATGAATATTTGGTTGTAGTCGCACTGTTTCTGAGAACTGCTGTACATCTGTGTTGCATGGAGTCCCCCAACTTCTGGCCCCTGTGATCAGGTATTCCAGCCCAGGATGATTGGACCACATTCCACACTTCTTCTCGATTTCTTGGTTTGGCCTCAGAAACGGCATTTTTGATGTCACCCCACAAGTTTTCTATTGGATGAAGATCCGGGGATTGGGCTGGCCACTCCATAACGTCCATCTTGTTGGTCTGGAACCAAGATGTCGCCCGTTTACTGGTGTGTTTGGGGTTGTTGTCTCGTTGGAACACCCATTTCAAGGGCATTTCCTCTTCAGCATAAGGCAGCATGACCTCTTCAAGTATTCTGATGGATTCAGACTGATCCATGATCCCTGGTATGCGATAAATAGGCCCAACACCGTAGTATGAGAAACATCCCCATATCATGATGCTTGCACCACCATGCTTCACAGTCTTCACAGTGTACTGTGGCTTGAATTCAGTGTTTGGGGGCCGTCTGACAAACTGTCTCCGCCCACTAGACCCAAAAAGAACAATCTTACTTTCATCAGTCCACAAAATGTTGCGTCATTTCTCTTTAGGCCGGTCAATGTGCTCTTTGGCAGATTGTAACCTCTTCAGCACACGTCTTTTTTTTCCAACAGTGGGACTTTGCGGGGACTTCTTGCAGATAGCTTGGCTTCACATCGACGTCTTCTAATTGTAACAGTCCTCACAGGGAACGTCACACCTTCTTTCATCTTCCTGGAGCTGATTGTTGGCTGAGTCCTCACAGGGAACGTCACACCTTCTTTCATCTTCCTGGAGCTGATTGTTGGCTGAGTCCGCCCCATTTTGGCTATTCTTCTATCCATTCCAATGGTAGTTTTTTCGCTTTCTTCCGCATCTTTCAGGTTTTGGTTGTCATTTTAAAGCATTTGCCATCATTTTAGCTGAGCAGCCGATCATTTTCTGCACTTCTTTATATGTTTTCCCCTCCAATCAACTTTTTAATCAAGGTACGCTGTTCTTCTGAACAATGTCTGGAACGACACATTTTCCTCAGAATTTCAGAGAGAAATGCACTGTAACCAGCATGTCCAACATTTGCTGCCTTCCTTCCTTAAATAAGGGCAATAATTGCCACCTGTTTATCAAAGAATGAATGACGTCACTAATAGAACTCCACACGGCTATTATTTTGAACACGCCCCTTTCAATGAGTGATTCAATGACACAGAATCAGCAGCATGCATGTCATGACTGTCGGGTCTGTTGGATTTCTATGACTATACTACACCTGCTAGGAAATTATCTGCCATGTAGAAATATCATTTCCACCAAAAACAGTGATTGATCCGGTTAGTGATGTCTGACGGCTAGTATTTTCAACACAACTGTATGTGTGTGTATATATATATATATTTAATAAACATGTCTATACTTCCCTGCTGTGTGCAGTGGATTTGCAGAGCAGCCCAGATCCTCCTCTTCTTGGATCCCCCGCCAGCACTCCTGGCCCATCCCCCGTCAGGTGCCCCCACAGCAAGCAGCTTGCTATGGGGGCACCTGAGCATGCACACTCCCCCAGTCGCTGCTCCGTGTGTCCATTCTCAGAGTCGCGGCTTGGCCCCACCCGTTCTCTCTTCTCATTGGCTCACTGGCTGTGATTGACAGGGATTGAGAGGGAGTCCCGGGATAGCCAAGACTCCAGTGCACATCGCTGGATTGAGAGGGGGCTTAGGTGAGTATTAGGGGGTGTGGGGGGGCAGATATGCTGCACAGAGATTTCTTTTAACTTCATACATAGAATACATGAAGGTAAGAAGCTTTGAACCTTTACAACCACTTTAACCCCCACAGTGCTGGACGTTCAGGAACAGGAAGAGGATGGGACAGCCGGGCAGAGAAGATTTCTAGACTCCAGCAGCCCGCACACCAGGAGGACATCCTTCATCACAGGCAGGCAGTGCAACTAAAACTGGAAAGAAATAAAATATATATTTTTTTAGTTACAGCTTTAAATAGAATTGACGATGCAACTCTGAAGGCCTCATTCACATGGGGTGTAGTACAGCGTAGGGCCACACGAGGGCCCCGTTTACCTGCACAGGCATTCCATGCATCCTCATGCAGACAGGTCCTTCCGTGTCCATTGGGATGCAGCAGCTGCACGGACACAGACACCCGTGTGGGGGGTTGGGTGAGTTCAGGGTTTCCCACCTACATGGATGTCAAACTGGGAGCAGCTGCTGTGTCCGTGCATCAATGGGCCCGCCTGCGCAGTGTGCTTCTCCGTGTGAACGGGGCCCTCGCGTGGCCCTACGCTGTACTACACCCCATGTGAACGAGGCCTTCAAGTTGCATCATCAATTCTATTTAAAGCTGTGACTGATTAAAAAAAAATATTTATTTTCATTCTTTAATTAAAAAAATATATTCTATTTAATAAAAAAAAATATATATATATATATATACATTATTCTTTATTTTTTTTATAATTAATACTGTAAAGAAATAAAATATTTTTTTTTTTTTATTAAAGAATGAAAATATATATTTTTTTTTAATTAAAGAATGAAAATATATATTATTTTAAAGAATGAAAATATATTTTTTTTTTTAATTAAATATATATTTTCATTCTTTAATTAAAAAAATATATTTTTATTTAATAAAAAAAAAAATGTATACATACATTATTCTTTATTTTTTTTATAATTAATACTGTAAAGAAATAAAATATATATTTTTTTTAATTAAAAAATGAAAATATATATTTTTTAATCAGTCACAGCTTTAAGTAGAATTGATGATGCAACTCTGAAGGCCTCGTTCACATGGGGTGTAGTACAGCGTAGGGCCGAGGGCCCCGTTCACACGGAGAAGCACACTGCGCAGGCGGGCCCATTGATGCACGGACACAGCAGCTGCTTCCAGTTTGACATCCATGTAGGTGGGAAACCCTGAACTCACCCAACCCCCCCGACACGGGTGTCTGTGTCCGTGCAGCTGCTGCATCCCAATGGACACGGAAGGACCTGTCTGCATGAGGATGCATGGAACGCCTGTGCAGGTAAACGGGGCCCTCGCATGGTCGTACGCTGTACTACACCCCGTATCAATGAGGCCTATTAGTGAAGCATCTATGTTCCGGTCTTCCTACGAGTCTCCTGGTGAATGGATATGGGGTGATGTAGATGTTCATACACAAGGCTGCACTGTACACCGAAATCATCATTACTGTCAAAACATCTTTATTGTACATTTTACAAACACCAATATCCAATAAAAAGTCTGCTTCTCTGGATGTCAGACAGAACGTGTCTAAGGCTTCAAATTAAAATATGTCACATGATCACTTTTCAGGCAAACACTAAAATGTACTGCGGAGTATCTACAAGGTCACGGGTGGCTGCGAAGGTCACGGGGGGGAGGGGCTGCGTTTGTCGGTGGTACCTTTAGACGCCCTGACCTGGGGACATCAGTGGATGCTTCACTCACAGAGCAGAATGTGCCGGTATAGAGCTGGTCTGATGGTTGAGGGCTCCAGCGCCTGGGCCAGCGAGGCAGCCTGTCCCCCAAACAGGAGCCAAGCAACTGCCCGAGTTCCCTGCGTGTCTGCTGCTCAGTGCGACAGGCTGATCCGCGGCAATGCGCCAGCTCCCAGAGGAGAGAGCGCCACCGTCAGCCAATCAAAACACGCAGCTCTGAGGGGGTTGAAGCATCGTCAAGGGGAGTGCAACATTCGCAAAGTCTAGCCAACATGGCTTCATTATCGGGTCCAGACACCACAGATGCATTATGGGAGTCCAGGAGTCCTCACCTGGGGGTTGGATTTGGCGAGGTTTTCGATTTTAACCCAAGCTTCTTCTCTCTCTTTCAGCTTTAGCTTCTCCCTGCAACACAAAACAAGAAGTGAGCGCCTTGCGTGGAAGGATGGCCACAGACGGGAGGAGATCTCATGGAGGTGAGGGATCTGACCACTGATGGCCACAGACGGGAGGAGATCTCATGGAGGTGAGGGATCTGACCACCGATGGCCACAAATGGGAGCAGATCTCATGGAGGTGAGGGATCTGACCACCGATGGCCACAGACGGGAGGAGATCTCATGGAGGTGAGGGATCTGACCACTGATGGCCACAAATGGGAGCAGATCTCATGGAGGTGAGGGATCTGACCACTGATGGCCACAGACGGGAGGAGATCTCATGGAGGTGAGGGATCTGACCACTGATGGCCACAGACGGGAGGAGATCTCATGGAGGTGAGGGATCTGACCACTGATGGCCACAAATGGGAGCAGATCTCATGGAGGTGAGGGATCTGACCACTGATGGCCACAGACGGGAGGAGATCTCATGGAGGTGAGGGATCTGACCACTGATGGCCACAGACGGGAGGAGATCTCATGGAGGTGAGGGATCTGACCACTGATGGCCACAGACGGGAGGAGATCTCATGGAGGTGAGGGATCTGAGCACCGATGGCCACAGACGGGAGGAGATCTCATGGAGGTGAGGGATCTGACCACCGATGGCCACAAATGGGAGATCTCATGGAGGTGAGGGATCTGACCACTGATGGCCACAGATGGGAGGAGATCTCATGGAGGTGAGGGATCTGACCACTGATGGCCACAAATGGGAGGAGATCTCATGGAGGTGAGGGATCTGACCACCGATGTCCACAGACGGGAGGAGATCTCATGGAGGTGAGGGATCTGACCACCAATGGCCACAAATGGGAGGATATCTCATGGAGGTGATGGCCACAGATGGGAGGAGATCTCATGGAGGCAAGGGATCTGACCACCGATGGCCACAGACGGGAGATCTCATGGAGGCGAGGGATCTGACCATTGATGGGAGGAGATCTCATGGAGGAGAGGGATCTGACCACCGATGGCCACAGACAGGAGGAGATCTCATGGAGGAGAGGGATCTGACCACTGATGGCCACAGACAGGAGGAGATCTCATGGAGGAGAGGGATCTGACCACCGATGGCCACAGATGGGAGGAGATCTCATGGAGGCGAGGGATCTGACCACCGATGGCCACAGATGGGAGAAGATCTCATGGAGGCGAGGTATCTGACCACCTCTATAGCATGGGGGGCTCAACCTGCAGCCCTCCAGGCGTTGAGGAAGTTCCATAAGGCATTGCAAGACTGACAGTTACAAGCATGACTCCCAAAGGCAGAGGCATGATGGGACTTGTAGTTCCGCAACAGCTGGAGGGCCGCAGGTTGAGCTCCCATGCCTTGCAGGCCTTACATGGAACTCACAAATGTCACATTACAGCTGACTGGTCCTTGACAGATCGCGCCACTGCGCAGCCCCACGGACGCACGAGAGTCCCGTCCGGCTGTCAATCTGCTATAGGCCGGGTGGGACACTTGCTGCTGTGACTGGGCGTCATATGACGTCCTATCAAAACGCTCTGCTCACATGGCCACAGTGCGATCTGTCACAGACTGTATCCACGGGACACAACCAATGACATATCACTACACTGGCCCGTTGCCAGTGTCATGTGATCGCTGTGACCAATCACAGCAGATCACATGTCAATTGTATACAATGAAGGGCTTCCTGTCATACCATCCATTGTATAGAATTATGACTGGTCACGGCAGTCACATGATACAGACAGGGCCAATCACAGCCCATCTTTATCATGTGATCAGCTTTGCCCAATCACAACAAAAGACTGAATGAATCCGTTTTCATTCAGTAACAATGATGGCGAATATCAATGAAATACATCGGTATCAGCAATCATAATGTGTTAAAAAAATAATAAAAATCCCGATCACTCGCCCAGAGGAGTTCCGTGTTACTATGGTAACGTATTGCTTTGGTCACCGTGCGCTGAAAAATAAAATAGTAAAAAAAAGAATAAATGTAATAAAAAAAAAATAATAGAAACATTTGAAAAAAAAAAATACAAAATTCAATTATTATTTTCACCAAAGAAATGTAGCAGAATACATCTTGGCCTAAATTTATGAAGAAATGTTATTTAGTTGCAAAATTTTATAACCGAAACGAAGAAAAGTGCATTTTTTTTTTCAAAAGTTTCAGGGTGCTTTTTGTTTTATTTAGAAAAAAAAAAAAAAAATTCAGTGGTGATTAACTAGTAGCCGACCGCAGATATCCGAATGACGGCTGCACCGCGGCCGGCCAGTTCTGAGTGGACGTCATATGACGTCCCCCCAGAACGTGCTCTCCTGCGCGCCCCAGGGGGCCCGCACCCGGCGATCTCCGTGATCGGTGTCCTACACAGCTGATCACGTGATGTGGTAAAAGGCCAATCACAGCGGCCTTTTACCACGTGATCAGCGGTGTCCAATGACACGCTGATCAGAGGGAAATGCAAGTGCCGGTTCTCGGCTGCACTTTCCTCACGCTGTCAGATCGTGAGGAAAGTACTGCCGAAAACCGGCAGTTGTCAGAGCGGGGATCGGCACCGATCATCAGGGCACTGGTGATCGGTGCCCAGCAGTGCCACCCGCAAGTTCCGCCCACCTGTGCCCAGCAGTGCCACCCGCAAGTTCCGCCCACCTGTGCCCAGCAGTGCGCCCACTAGCTCCGCCCACCTGTGCCCAGCAGATCACCCACCTGTGCCCAGCAGTGCACCCACCTGTGCCCACCAGTGCCACCCACCTGTGCCCACCAGTGCAGCCCAGCAGTGATGCCAGTCAGTGCTGTCTATCAGTACCCATCATCAGTGTCACCTATCAGTGCTGCCTATCAGTGCTGCCTATCAGTGCTGCCTATCAGTGCTGCATATTAGTGCCGCCTATCCGTGACACCTCATTAGTACTGCCTATCAGTGCCCTTTAGTGCTGCCTATCAGTGCCCATCAGTGCCGCCTATCAGTGCCCATCAGTGCCGCCTATCAGTGCCCATCAGTGCCGCCTATCAGTGCCCATCAGTGCCGCCTCATTAACGCACATCAGTGAAGGAGAAAAAATACCTGTTTGAAAAATTTTATAATAGAAACAAAGAAATTTTTTTTTTTTTTTCTTCAAATTTTTTGCACTTTTTTTATTTATAGCGCAAAAAGTAAAGCGCCCAGCGGCGATTAAATACCACCAAAAGAAAGCTCCATTTGTGAGAAAAAAATGATCAAAATTTCATCTGGGTACAATGTTGCATGACCGCGCAATTGTCATTCAAAGTGCGACAGCGCTGAAAGCTGAAAATTGGCCTGGGGGGGAAGGGGGGGAGTGCCCGGTAGGGAAGGGGTTAAGATGTTTTGGCTGCATTAGTTTTCTTTTTCTTTTTAGCAAGCACAGAACATATCTGTAAGGAAGATCCTGCCAGAAATGTGGGGTCCTCCGGAGAGCAGCGTTGGAGGGATTTACCGTTTCTCTACTAAGGGCAATTTTAATTTTTTTTGCATACATGTTAAAAACGGCATTTTTAACCCTCCCAAAAGTACATATTTTCTGAAAGCAGAGTCCTCGGAGAATGCAATGGAGGTAGATGCAATTTTTTTGGCACACAGTATTTGTCCACCTATTTGTCACACGAATATTTTCAGGAAAAAACGAATTTTAGTGAAAACACGGAAATATTATACAACATATAAAGGATTGGATTGTGTCACGTAAATGGATGACAAACATGTGAAGCCAGAACATTGGAACCCTGGAACATTGCAAAATAGGAGAGTACCCAGAATTCTCCATAGGTGGCGCTTTAGGAGCCTTTACAGGTCATCAGTTTAGAGTTCTCCATGAATTCGGGCCCCGGAATTATTTCTGTCGCACCGACATTCGTGGCGATACCTCACACGTGGCACAGCTGAGCTTTACATGCATGTGCTCGCCCTAGGCTGCGCTTATTTACATACGGCGTGTACGAGGGGTGACGGGGTACTGTAACAAAATGTATTTGGATTATATTTATTTTATATAAAAATGCAGATTTTTGGGGGGATTTAACCATTTGGCAACCGGGATACAGCCGAATGATGGGTACAGCGCGGTTGTCCAGTTCTGGGAGAGCGTCATATGACATCCTCCCAGAACACGCCTTCCTGCGCACCCGGTGATCTCCGTGATCGCTGTATCCTATGGACACAGCTGACCATGTGATGTGGTAAAAGGGCCAATCACAGCGGCATTCTACCACGTGATCAGCCGTGTATAAAAAGACACAGCAAATCACCAGTAAATACAAGTGCTGCACTTTCCACGCACTGTCACAGCATGAGGTAAGTACTGCCGATAACCGGCAACTGATGATCAGTGCCACCCACCTGTGCCCATCATTGCCGTCAGTCAGTGCCCATCATTGTTGCATATCAGTGCTGCCTATCCATGCCACCTCATCAGTGCTGCCTATCAGTGCCCATCAGTGCTGCCTATCCGTGCCACCTCCTCAGTGCTGCCTATCAGTGCCACCTCATCAGTGCTGCCTATCAGTGCCACCTCATCAGTGCTGCCTATCAGTGCCACCTCATCAGTGCTGCCTATCCGTGCCACCTCATCAGTGCTGCCTATCAGTGCCCATCAGTGCTGCCTATCCGTACCACCTCCTCAGTGCTGCCTATCAGTGCCACCTCATCAGTGCTGCCTATCAGTGCCACCTCATCAGTGCTGCCTATCAGTGCCACCTCATCAGTGCTGCCTATCCGTGCCACTTCAGTGCTGCCTATCCGTGCCACCTCATCAGTGCTGCCTATCCGTGCCACCTCCTCAGTGCTGCCTATCAGTGCCTACCAGTGCTACCTATCCATGCCATCTCAGTGCTGCCTATCAGTGCCCATCAGTGCTGCCTATCAGTGCCCATCAGTGCTGCCTATCCGTGCCACCTCATCAGTGCTGCCTATCCGTGTCACCTCATCAGTGCTGCCTATCAGTGCTGCCTATCCATGCCACCT